GCAGCAGGTTAAGCCACCACTTGAGACACCGGTATCCCTTATCAAGTGTCAACTGCTCTACTTCCAACCCAGCTCCCTGCTAATGCACCTGGGAAGGCAGCAGAGGATGGCCCAAGTACCTGGGGCCCTGTCACCCATGGGGGAGACCTGGATGGAGTTCCAGGATCCTGGCTTCAGCCTGGCCCAGCCCCAGCTGCTGTGGCCATTTAGGGAGTAAACCAGCAGATTGGGGATCTCTCTCCCTTTCTGTCACTTTGCAGGTCAAATTAATATTTAAAAAAAAAATGGGGGCCAGCACAATGGCAAAGCAGGTAAAGCTCCTCTCATAGGGCTTACACTGCCAGTTCCCCCTCGGGCTCGGTGTCCTCAGCTTCTCCAGCCACACGGCCTCCTGTGCACAGCATTTACACACACCTCAGCCCATGGCTGAGCACACACAAACCCTCCTGCGGCAATGCCCTGCCAGCTCCTGCCGCCTCCCTTGACACCCAAGCCTCTCAAAGAGCCATCTGCATTCGTCTGTCCTCACCCCCAGCCTCCTTAACACTGTGGTCACACCTCTGCCTGGATTTTTTTTTTTTTAAGATTTATTTATTTGAAAGAATTACAGGAGAGGTAGAGAGAGAGAGAGGTCTTCCATCTGCTGGTTCACCCCCCAGATGGCCACAATGGCCAGAGCTGCGCCGATCCAAAGCCAGGAGCCAGGAGCTTCTTCTGGGTCTCCCATGTGGGTGCAGGGGCCCAAGCACTTGGGCATCCTCCACTGCTGTCCCAGGCCACAGCAGAGAGCTGGATAGGAAGAGGAGTAGCCATTTTGGGATGCTGGCACCTCAGGCCAGGGTGTTAACCCGCTGCGGCACAGCGCCGGCCCCCCTGCCTGAATTTTGAAGAAAATGTTCACTTAACTGGAAAGGCAGAGAGACAGTTTTGCTGTCTGGTTTGCTCCCCAAATGTCTGCAACAGCCACGGCAGGGGTCAGCCTGGAACTCTACCCAGGTCTCCCACGAGGGTGGAAGGGCCCAGGGACTTGAGCATCATTCTCATCACACCTCCCAGGTGGGCAGTTACAAGAAGCTGGAATCGGACACAGAGCTGGGACTTGATCCCTAGCACTCCGACATGGGATGTGGGCATCCCACCCAGTGTCTTATCCCCTCCACCAAACGGCCACCTCTGTTTGATTAAATGGCGCTGCTCGGATTCTGTCCTAGGTACACCTGTTTGCCCTGAGATGTTCTTTCTGGGCACTAACAGCTTCTTGCATGTCTCTAGCATCAATGTGCTCACTGTGGAAGTCGGGGTAACAGCAAGGAAAATAGGGGTCACTCTCCAAAGTATTGAACGGGATAGGTTCATTTATAGAGGGCAGGGCAAGGGATCCAAACCAGGATGGTGAGGCAGCCAGGGACCAGCAAGCGCGGAAAGCCACGACTGCCCGTTTCCCTGAAGGAACGAAGGGTGGGAACGCGGTTACTGGAGGAGCCCCAGGAGGACTGGAGCCATGGGAGGGGTCGAGGGACGTGGCTGCTCTGCTGAGCGTGGCAGGGAGTGAAGCGGGAGAACTCTCCTCTCTTCTCCTGTGGGTGCTTCCCCTGGCTCTGCATGTCTGGAAGCCAGAGAGCAGGAGGGCCCAGGGGTGCCACCTGCACAGTGCCCTGGGGCACGGGGTTGGGAGGGCAGCCAGGTTAGCCACACACCACCCTCTTCTCACTCTCCAGCCCCCAGCTCGGGACTCCTGCGTTTTAGGCCTTTGTCACCAGCCACGTGTGGCTATTCAAATGAATTTTAATTCCTGCTTCACTCTCTCATTGCATTGTCCACATTTCAGCTGTTCAGCAGCCACATGCAACTTGTGGCCACCTTACATGGGCAGCAGCCCCCAGGTAGTTTTTTTTTTTTTTTTTTTAAGAATTGTTTTATTTGAAAGTCAGAGTTACACAGAGAGAAAAGGAGGGCAGAGAGAGAGAGAGAGAGAGAGAGAGAGAGAGGTCTTCCACCCACTGGTTCACTCCCCAAATGGCCACAATGGTCAGAGCCAGGAGTTTCTTCCGGGTCTCCCATGTAGGTGCAGGGGCCCAAAGACTTGGGCCATCTTCCACTGCTTTCTCAGGCCATAGCAGAGAGCTGGATGGGAAGAGGAGCAGCTGGGACTAGAACCGGCGCCCATATGGGGTGCCGGCACTGCAGGCGGCAGCTTTACCCACTATGCCACAGCGTCGGCCTCCCCGGGTATTGTTTTAAATTACTGCTTCTACCACTTTAAAAATGGCCCAGCTAAAAATCCCAGGTCCCCTAAGAAGGTGGGGTGACCAACAGTTCCTCTCCACTGACCTCCCATACCCTCTAGAGCAAGCTTTTAACTTTTAAATTAATGTTAAAATAGTCATTTCTTAAAATACTGTGTTTAATGGTTCTGGTGGTTACTATATTTCTAACAATCTGCTCTTTGCCTCTAAGATTTATTTATTAACAGCTTAGTGATAGAGCGAAGGACAAAGAGCCAGAGAGATCTTCCGTCTGCTGGTTCACTTCCCAAACGGCCACAATGGCCTAGGCTGGGCAAGGCCAAGGCCAGGAGATGGGAGCTGCACCCTGGTTTCCCACGAGGGGCCCAAGCACAGACCCCGACAGTGGCTTAACCTGCTAATAGCACTGACCCAGTTTTTGAAATTTCTAGTGCTTATTTTCGTCTACTTGTAAACAGAGCGACAGAGACAAAGATTTCACGCTGCTGGTTTACTCTCCAAATACCCACAGCAGCCAGGGCCGGGCCAGGTGGAAGTCAGGAGCCCAGGACTCCAGCCAGGTCTCCTATGTGGGTGGCGGAGGTCCAGGTGCTTCACCCATCATCTGCTGCCTCTCAGAACGCATCAGCAGGAAGCTGGATCGGAAGCAGAGTAGGTGGGGCTCAAACCAGCTCCTCCATATGGGATGCAGGCAAACGAAGCAGCAGCTTAACCCCCTGCACTAAAACACCCACCCTAACTCCAGCTTTTTTAAAAATACTGCGTTGAAATTAATTACTGAGTTTTCTGGCTTCTCGAATTTTGTGCTTGAAGCAAGTACCTCACACATCATCACAACCTAGTCCAAGCCTTGATTGCAAATACACTAAGTTTTCTATGTTTTCATAATATGAAGTACATTGATACTACCTAAAGTTGATAAGAAACAGAGGCAGGGTAGCTGGAGTTGTGGCACAGTGGGTTAAGCCACTGCTTGCGATGCCAGCATAACACACTGGAGCGGTGGTTCAAGTCCCAGCTGCTCCACTTCAGATGCAGCTCCCTGCTAACGTGCCTGAGAAGGCATAGGAAGATGGCCCAAGTCCTTGGGCCCCTGCGTTCACGTGAGAGACTTGGAAGAAGCTCCTGGCTTTGGCCTGGCCTAACCTTGGCTGTTGCGGGCCACTTGGAGAGTGAACCAGATGCAAGATCTCTGCCTCCTTGTAACTCTGCCGTTCAAATAAAAATTAATTTTATAAAAAATTTCAAAAACCAAAATTAAACTAGAGCAGACAACATAAATAAAGGCAGGTTCCCCATGACTCATTTCCCCTTCTGTCTTGGCTTGACTGTTATGGATTTTCACACAGTATTTTTCTTATTTTTTTATCTTGACTTTTGTCCTATGCAATTTTTTTTTTTAACAGGGTGAGTTAGACAGTGAGAGAGAGAGAAAGGTCTTCCTTTTTCATTGGTTCACCCCCCCAGTGGCCACTATGGCCGGCGCGCTGCACTGATCCGAAGGCAGGAGCCAGGTGCTTCTCCTGGTCTCCCATGGAGTGCAGGGCCCAAGCACTTGGGCCATCCTCCACTGCACTCCCGGGTCACAGCAGAGAGCTGGCCTGAAAGAGGGGCAACCAGGAAAGAATCCGGTGCCCCGACCAGGACTAGAACCCGGTGTGCCGGTGCCGCAGGTGGAGGATTAGCCTAGTGAGCCGCGGCGCCGGCCCTACGCATTTATTTTGATTTTTGGAATTATGGAGTTAAAGTATTGTCGTGATTACTGCATTTTCTTAGATTTTGCACCGGCGCAGGTGTTTGGCCTCGTCAGTAGGCGAGTTGGGATGCCCACTTCCCGTGATCAGAGTGCCGGGGCTCCATAGCAGATGGCAGCTTCCTGCTAACACAGTCCCTCGGAGGCAGCAGTGATGGGCTCTTCCCACCCAGTTCAGACATGGGCTGTTTGCAGCTCCTGGCTGCAGCCCACCTCTGTCCAGCCCCAGTCACTGTGGGTATAAAGGGCAGGGAACCAGCGTGTGGGAGCCCTGTCTCTGTCTCCTTCTTGGGCAGTCCACTCGTTGCCCTCATTTGGAGTTCTTCTGACAGCCATCACTTTAAAGAGCCATTTCCCTTCCCTCCGCCTGCCTGCTGGTCTGTCCCGTGTCCTGCAGGGTTTTGCTGTAACTGTCACTGCAGGCATTTACAAGTGTTTGCGCTGCTCTGTGCCTGGCAGCCCCTATGCGCGATCTGGTACAGAGCGAGGAAGCTTCCCATCCGCCTTTGCCCGTTCTGTGCCGCTTCCCCATGCCGGCTGGTTCCCTGCCCATGACCTCAGGTCCCAGATTCCTGGCCAGGAGGAACGGCTGCCACCTGGGGACTTGCCTGGGGAAGCGCGTTCGTCCCGTGGGCCCCAAGTGCCGAATCTGAACCATACAAAGGAAAAAATAAACATTTCCACGGGAAGCTAAAAAGTAAATACACTTCCTTGCTGCTCTCGGTCCCCCAAGTCCAGAGTCACCGTGACGCAGCAGAATCTGGGCCTACAGGAAATCCTCTGCACCCACTTTGGCCGGGGGCCCTGGCGGAAGCCTGTCCCCCAGCCCCTCGGATCCCATCCCAACCCCAGGCGGTTTCAGAGCCAGTTGCAGATTGGCTTGCCTCCTCTCTCTCCTCCCCAGCCGCAGCGGACCCCCGCTCCATCCCCAGGCTCCCCCTCCTCCCTAACTGCGCCAGGCTCTGGGCATGCGCCCCGCCCCCGCTGGCTCTCGGCATATAAAGGAGCCAGTACGCAACCAGCCAGCCCAGCTTAGGCTTAGCTGACGCTCCGCCCAGCTGGTGTCTCGCCGAGGCCAGGGGACAACCTGCGGCCCCGCCAGTCCGCGCCGGGTACTGCGTCTCCTGCATCTCCGCACGGGCAGCGCGCCCTGAGAGCCATGGCTGGTGAGTACGCAGGGCAGGACGCTTGCGTCACCCAGAGCAGGCCGTAGGGCCTTGGCTTGGAGTTTTGTTCAGACCAAGAAAGTGAAAGAGGCGAGGGGCCCGGGATGGGCCTGGCCCAGAGTCGGGAGAGGGGCAGCTTTCTTTGGCACGCTAGGGTGACAGAGTCTTCTTCATCTGAGCTTCACAAACGGGGTGAGGGCTTCAGACAGACTTGAACTTGGAGCCAAACATTTGCCTTCAAAACAGCAGGCGAAGTCAGTTAGCACAAGAGGCCAAATGCAGCCCCTGGTGGACGCCTCGCTTGGCCTGGGACTACTGCAAGCACATTGGAGGAAGTTGCTAACGCTGAAAATAGGTGGCTCCACTTTAAGGTGTGGGTCCCTGCCTGGTGGAGGGACCTGCATTGCCTGGACGGCTCTAATAGAGGGGCCTGCCTGGACTGAGCACCCCCCCCCCCCCCACACACACACAGCACAGCTCTGCCTCTTGGTGATTTCCGGTTGCCAGAACCGAGGTCTACCTCTGAAAATGGGCGCATGCGCACACTCGGAACCGCAGCTTGCTAAGGAGGTGGGGGTGGCTATTGCCACTGCAGCTGCTCGAGCCTCAGATGAGGCTGAGCAGGGGCTAGAGGCCCGGGAGTGGCTGGCAGAGGTGCACGGAAGCAATTATTCTCGCTCACCGGGCGGCGTGGCAGCTGCTGTGTTTCCGTCCACAGTGGGCCCCCCCACACCCCCCACACCACCCCACCACACCCCCCCCCCCCGCAACATTCCAAGACCTTCACGGGATGCCTCAGCCTGCAGGTGGTACCGAGTTCTGTATACACTATCTTTTCCTACACCTACATCCCTATAACGTTTAGCTTATAAATTAGACATACTGCAACATGAAGGTAGACAGATCTTCCATCCACTGGTTCACTCCCCAAATGCCCACAATAGCTAGGGCTGTCCCAGGCCAAAGCCAGGAGACCAGGAGCTTCATCTGGTCTCCCAAGGGTGGCAGGGGCCGTCATCTGCTGCCTCCCAGACACGCTAGCAGGAAGCTGGATGGGAAGTGCAGACTGGAACCAAGCACTCCGTCATGGGATGTGCGTGTCCTTAGGCAGCGGTTCAACCTGCTGCACCACAAGGCTCGCCCCAATGTATTTTTTTTTTTTTTGACAGGCAGAGTGGACAGTGAGAGAGAAGAGAGAGAGAGAAAGGTCTTCCTTTGCTGTTGGTTCACCCTCCAATGGCCGCCGCGGCCAGCGCACCGCGCTGATCCGAAGGCAGGAGCCAGGTGCTTCTCCTGGTCTCCCATGGGGTGCAGGGCCCAAGGACTCGGGCCATCTTCCAGTGCTTTCCCAGGCCATAGCAGAGAGCTGGATCGTTAGTGGAGCAGCCAGGACTCGAACTGGCACCCATATGGGATGCCGGCACTGCAGGCAGCGGCTTTACTCACTCCACCACAGCACTGGCCCCCACAGTGTATCTTTTAATTCCAATGTCTGTGCCTTTCTGAAGTCCATCTCATTTGTGTAAATGAAACATAAAGAGGGAGGGGTAAGGAGGGAAAAAGGGAGATTTGGATCTTGCAGAACGAGTTTTAGCTGTACCCAGCCAACCTTTAACGGAATCCGGAATCCGGGGCGTTGTTTGCAGAGGTTTGTAGCCCTGCACGCTTATCCCCGGGGGCATTGGAGTGTGACCAGGATGGGGCAGAAAGCCCGAAAGTGATTTGAGGGCTTGCTCTGCTGTTTCTACCAGGTGTTCCTTGGTGACTTATTCTCTGCCAAAGAGCTCAGGTGGATAATGTAACAGTAACAGGTACACTGTACAGTGGACAGTATCCCATAATGCCTTTCTCCACTTTTTTTTTCCTGCTATTACTTGCTACTGCATTGGTTGTCAGAGAAATCATGCAGCTTGGAAGAGCAGAGTTTTATCTGGAAGGTTACTAACAGTTCTGGGTTTCAGATTGGCCCAAAGGGGAAGGCAGAGAGGAGTGGGAGTGTCGGAGCCACAGCAGAGGGCAGAGGTCACTCTCCAGGGAACAGAATTCAGGTTCCATGAAGACCAAAGATTGGTGTGTTTTGTGCACCGATCTATCTCACGTGCCTGGAACAGTGTCTGGCGCGTAGCAGGTGCCCAGGGAACTGTGGTGGAGAGGCTGAGCAGATGGGTTCATGGGAGCATTAGCACTTCCGGGGGAGAAAGGAAAGGAGGCCAACAGGGACGTGGGGTGAGATCAAAGACCGGTGAGGGGACACAAAGACGGACTGGGAGCCGGTTTCACAGCGACGGACATCTGCCAGCAAAGCACAGTGCGTGGGGAGAGACGCGCCGAGCTGCGCTTGAACTGTTCACTTGAATTAGATACACCTCCCTCGTGACATGGTGACACACTGATGCGCAAGTGCCAGTACTGGGGTGGGTGTTGAGATGCTCACGTCCCATACTGGAGTACGTGGATTTGATTCCTGGCTCTGGCGCCCGACCCCAACTTCCTGCCAATGCAGACAGACCCCGGGAGGCAGAGGTGGGGCACCTGGCAGAGTTCCCACTTCCTGGCTTCCGCACCCTGCCCGGCCCCAGCGGAGATTCGGGGAGTGAACCAGAAGGGGGCTCCGTCAGTCTCTCAGCAAAACACCCAAAGATCAAACGAGGTGCTGAGGATAACGCCACCGGTCTTCCAAGGTGCGGCGGCACTGGCGGCCCCTTCAGAAGACGCTGGCTAATGGGCCACCCTGAGGCTCACGGCTGCCGCTGAGGAAGGTCCCTTACGTCTCGGTCATGCTGATGTCACCCAACCCTGGAGTAGCTATTTTGAGCCTCTCGGGAGGCAAATTCTGAGCTCTGTGCTGTCCCAGAACACAGCGCTGGTTAGGGGGCAGCAGAGGGAGGTGAGCCCTCTGGGTCCAGATGAGCCCATGAAAAATGACGTGAAATCGAGGGCCACAGGGTTACAACTTCGGGTGGTCCATCTCCCGAGGCCCCCCCTTATCTCCAGCAAATAAGTCTTGTTCGCTGCGAAGCAGCGTTCTGTGAGCTGCCTGATAAGACCATTTCTCTCAAGCTGTTTTAAGTCTCTGTAGTCCCGGTGCTGGGCTTTTCTGGGTTATGTTTGAGGGAAATGTACTATTCTAATCTGTGTCTGGTACTTCTACACTGTCAAGGTCACGGGCATGCCTGTTGTTGGGTAGCAAGCTCATTAGGAGTAAGCCATGGGAGGCTGGGACTGTGGCCAAGCAGGTTAAACGGCCGCCCATCAGCGCCAGCATCACCTATGGGCACCAATTCGATTCCCAGCTGCTCCACTTCCAATCCAGCTCCCTGCTAATATGCCTGGGAAAGCACTGGAAGATGGCCCAAGTGCTTGGGCCCCTGCATCCACATGGGAGACCCTGTTTAGGCTTGGTTTAGACCTCCTAATTTAGTCTTCCTGCACACTGTTGCCTTACAAAAGTGGCTTTGTAGATTCAAGTCAAGATGTAGGCCGCTATATAGATCGGGAGGGCCCCAGGTTCAAGGCTGAGCTGCAGGGGTTTACCTGGTGGGGAGCAGAGGCCCATGGCTTTCAGTCAGTACTCAAGTCTTTTCTGTACAGGGCCACTTCTATACCCCTGTATCTTCCTCGGATCGCGGGCTGTTCCCAGCGATGACAGGCAGAGTTCACCCTCCCGCCACCCTCACCGTGGCCTCTTCTAAACTACCAAATGCGCCGGAATGCTCCAGATCCCTCCCTGGCTGCACCAGATGCTGCCCCTAAGGCAAATCCCGCTCCCCTCCACTCTCAGTGCCTCTCAAACAAGGCCACCCCCGCCGCGGGGCCTCGCCAGAGACCTGCTGGTGATCCAAGAGATCAAATCTCGCTCGCTCAGGCCGGCATGGCCCCCGCTGACTTCATTGTTTCCCGCTCAGATGTTTCCATTTTCACAGGCCTTCAGTCTCTCAACAGCTGAGCAGAGCTGCCGCGGGTCAGCCAGCAGCCACCTGCGGCTGTGTGGGGCTCGGTGCACAGCCAGGGCCCCGAGGGCCACGTGGCCACAGCATGAGCCTGGATGTCCAGGAAAAGGGGCGGGGCAAGGGGGCATGGAAAAGTGAGTGAGTGTGGCGATTTCCAAAGAAAGAGGTTTCAACAAAAATCCCACCATTTCCTCTGTCTCCAGTAGCCTGACAACTCTAGTGCTGATCCAACCAAGCAGCCCTGGTTACGGAACTTTGAGGGACCCTGTGCCCACCCCAGGCCCAGGTGCAACTGTGGGCGCCTGGCCCAGCACCCCAGCCCCAGGGCGGCCTGCTGGCTCAGAGGTTCCAGCCGAAGCCTCTCTGATGCCCTTGGTATCAAATCTTCGTATTTTACTCCACGGGATTCCTCTGTAGGGAAGATATTGATGAAGAAGTAAGGGGTAGGAGCGGGGTAGGAGGAAGAGGAGGAGTCCCCTTGACTGAGCACCTACTGTGTGCCAGGCATTATGCTAACCCGCTTAGTGAAAGTCTCCAGTGTTCCCAACAACCTTAGGAAGCAGGTGTTCAGTGTCTTCACGCTACCAGCAATAGCAGGGCGATCGCTCTGATCTCAAAGTCCGTTCTACAGCTCCGTTTCTGCAGCTTTCAGAGAACTGCCCCTCCCAGGGGTGTGGGAGGCTGTGAGCAGGGTCACAGGCTCCCCAGGAGTGGATGGAGGCTGGGCTCAGCCTGCTGACTTGTGGCACAACTAGCTCACTGACCTTAGATTGGTGCTCTCGGGATCTGGAGGGAGCCCAGGGGTGCCCAGGGGAGGGAAACCATCAGGCTGTGGGCAAAGCAGGAGCAGAGAGCAGTCCCGCCTGGAAAGCTCCCCCAGCTCTGCAGGGGTGAAGCGTGCAGGTGCGAGAAGCAACAGCTGGGTCCCAGGGGGCTCCGGCCTGTGCTACCTCTTCCTGAGTCAGCTCAGGCCATTGCGGCCATTTGGGGAGTGAACCAGTGGAAGGAAGGCCTCTGTCTCTCCTCTCTCTCTAACTCTGCCTTTCAAATAAAATAAATTAATCTTAAGAAAGAAAAAAAAAAAAAAAAAGAGCAAGCTGTGGAGGTCCAGCCCAGCTGGTTTCCTTGTTTACCGAGTCAGGAAATCCCTGTAACACTGATGAGAAGTCCACAGAAGGAAGGCGACAGAGCAGGAGTCCCTCAGACACTGAGAGCAACGCAAAGGTCATTGGCAACGGAGCCACCAGGACTTCAGCCCCCGGCGTGGATGCACTGAGAGGAAGCAGGGTGTGAGTTTGGTGAAGCCAGCCTCCCCCTTTCCCAGCCTGCCACAGCGCAGAAGTCACTTCAGTGGCATTTCGGGCATCAGCCAGTACAAACGCCACTGACTCTCAAAGAGGCTGGGACCGGGGCCCAAGCCTGTCAAACCTGCACTTGGCCTGAGCCTGGGGCCCCTGCACCAGGGGGGCCAGGGATGCAAGCAGGAGGGGCCCGGGGCCCACGCGGCCGCTTGCACAAATCTTAGTTACCTGGAGCTCTTCCAACAGGACCGAGCCGTCCAGGTAGCCTCCCTCCCAGGGCAGGACGTCCCAGGAGCAGTGGCTGGGTCATCCCCCTTCTCCGGCCCTTCCCCACACAGCTGCGCACTGTGGCTTGCATTTGGGTCGGAGTTACCCCAGCTGCCTACTCACCGTGTGGGCACTGCTTAGCTCTCGGGCGCCTCCGGGTTCTCCCGCATCGGGGTGGGACCCCGCGTGTCCCAGCCCCACCGAGCGGTGTCTCAGAGCACCCACATTGAGGCCGTTTGTTAAGGACGGCAGTTTATCCGTCACAGCTCTGGAGAGTGGGCAGCTCCGGGTCAAGGCTCCCAGGGGTTCCGCTCTGCAGAGAGGCAGGTGGGACGGTGAGCCGGCGCACACCTAATGCAGCCGCCGCTGGGGGCGCCTTGAGCACGTTAGTGAGGAGCGAGGCTCATGGCCTCATGGCCTTGCCAGGGCCCCTCCTCCTGACAGTAAATACCTTGGCAACACCTGAGCTGCCACAGGGACGTGCCCAGCACAGGTGGTCCCGGTGCTGGGAGAAGACCACGGCCCGTGCTGTGGCTGCGCAGTGAAGCTCCGGGCCTGGCCTCCGCATCCACTTGGGCAGCCCAGAGAGAGCCCCCCCCCACCGCGCTTGTCCCCTCTCCTGTGGTGGCCCCTCATGCCAGTCTACATACAGGCGTATGCACATCCCTCCCTTCCTTTTAAATAAAAATAGATTGACCTACGCTTGCGCTTGCGTCTTGTTAATAATGTGTCGAGGAGACCCTCCTGGGTTTCTTGCTAATGGCTTATTATCCTGTCCTGTGGATGTAGCCACAATTGATTAAAATGGTCCCCATAAACAACCATCTCACTTATGCCAATCAAGAGTGGTGTGGGATGCAATCCTTGCGCCCGTATCCTGATGCCTTTACTCTGTAGGGCACACTCCCCCAAACTGCAACGATGGAGCAAAGCTGAATGTGCCTTGAACAGCGTTTAAAAAGATTTATTCATTAGGCCAGTGCTGTGGGTAAAGCTGCCACCTGCAGCGCCGGCATCCCATATGGCCGCCGGTTCAAGACCTGGTTGCTCCCCTTCCAATCCAGTTCTCTGCTATGGCCTGGGAAAGCAGTAGAAGATGGCCCAAGACCTTGGGCCCCTGCAGCTGCATGGGAGACCCTGGAGGAAGCTCCTAGCTCCTGGCTTTGGATCGGTGCAGCTCCAGCTGTTGCAGCCAATTGGGGAGTGAACCTGTGGAAGGAAGACCTCTCTCTCTCTGCCTCTGCCTCTCTGTCACTCTGCCTTTCAAATATATATATATATGTATATATGTATATATAAATAAATAAACCCTCTGAAATCCAAAACACTTCTGGCTCCAAGCGTTTTGGATACGGGCCACTCGGCAGGTAATGGCCTTGGTCCATGTGCCTGTGTCTGTCCACAGTCAGGAAAGCACTGATCGTCCTGGCCCATGCCGAGAGGACGTCCTTCAACTATGCCATGAAGGAGGCCGCCGTGGAGGCCTTGAAGAGGACAGGCTGGGGGGTGGCCGAGTCGGACCTGTACGCCATGAACTTCAACCCCGTCCTTTCCAGGAAGGACATCACAGGTGCGAGCCCTGCCTCCCCTGCACTTCTTGGGGGCCGTCCTTGCCCGCGGGTGCCTGGGCCTCAGCCTCTCTTTCCCCTGTGTGCAGGCAAGCTGAAGGACCCCGAGAACTTCCAGTACCCTGCCGAGTCCACTCTGGCTTACAAGGAAGGCCGGCTGAGCCCGGACATCGTGGCCGAGCAGAAGAAGCTGGAGGCCGCAGACCTGGTGATATTTCAGGTAGGGGAGGACGGGACAGCAGACGGGGTGTCGGGGACAGCGAGTTCTCCGTAGGCTCGCCCTGTCAACGGATGAGCCCTGGCCTCCTGGGAAAGTCACTCCCCACCACCGTCTGCAAACAGGGCCGGTGGCGTCAAGGCGCGGGATCCCGCAGGTTTGCAGGTGTGTTGCTCCTCGCGTGCACAAGAACACCTGCAAAGGAGCACGTGGAGGTCTCGAGCTCTTCCCCCAGGTGCCTGACCTCCCTGTCCAGCGGGGGCTCCTGCTGGATGCTCAGGGTGTGTGCAGAGCTGGTGGGGCGAAGCCGGGGACGCTGGCTTCCGGGCTGTGGGACCACGGCCCTCGTCCTCCCGCTGTGGAACTCTGTGTGCTCGTCAGCGTCCTGCCTCCCCGTGCTGGGCTGCAGGCAGCGCCTTTGCTGTCGCCAGCTCCACCGACCAGGGACTGTCATGACCCTGGAGGTCCGCGACGAGGGGCTACAGGCTGTTCCTTCAGCTGCAGAGCGACCTGTCCTTAAAGTCCTCTATTCTGCCTCCTCGCCCCCGGCCTGTGGTGCCCCACGGGACGCCTGCTGGATCCCCATTTTCAACAGCTTCTTACCCTGGTGTAGCCATGGCAGCAGCAGCTCTGTCCTCTTGCCAGAATCAGTGCGTTTCAAAGTGGGAAAGGACCTTGGTGTTCTTCACACGTGGCCGCTGTCTGATGTACACGCTTGCTTCCCTGTCAGTACAGCTGTGCAGGTGGTACACGGCTAAGCCGCGCCGCACGCAAGGGCAGTGGAGGCACTGCAGACTCTGTGTACTCTGACAGCTTCCTAGCAGGTGGCAGGAAAAGGCTCATCCTGGCAAAGTCATTGCACCGTGATCGTCTTTCCACATGAAAATAAAATGTTGGCCGGCGCCGCAGCTCACTAGGCTAATACTCCGCCTGCGGCGCCGGCACCCCAGGTTCTAGTCCCAGTTGCTGCTCTTCCAGTCCAGCTCTCTGCTGTGGCCTGTGAAGGCAGTGGAGGATGGCCCAAGTGCTTGGGCCCTGCACCCCATGGGAGACCAGGAGAAGCACCTGGCTCCTGCCTTTGGATCGGTGCAGTGCGCCGGCCGCAGTGCGCCGGCTGTAGCGGCCATTTGGGGGTGAACCAATGGAAGGAAGACCTTTCTCTCCATCTCTCTCTCTCACTGTCTAACTCTGCCTGTCAAATAAGTTTAAAAAAAGAAATGTGCAGTCCCGCGAAGCCACCTGCTTGTGCTTCTGAGTTCTGTCCACTGTAAATGCAAGTCAGACCGTTTCCTCTTCAGTGAGTTCGTTCCTCCTAAAGGGCTGGACAAAGGCCCGGAGAAGGGAGCTCCCCTGCCGTGACGTCATGGGCAGCAGCCCAGCACCCTGCTCCGCCGTCTGAGCTGGGCGCCCCGGATCTGACCTCCGTGCTGTCTCTGTGCCACAGTTCCCGCTGCAGTGGTTTGGAGTCCCTGCCATTCTGAAGGGCTGGTACGAGCGAGTGCTCATCGGGGAGTTCGCCTACACGTACGCCTCCATGTATGACAAGGGGCCCTTCCGGGTAGGTGGACGACGCCGTGTTCTCCAGGGGTGGGTTCTGGGTAGATTCTGTTCGGGGCACAGCTTTGAGCATGAATAGGTACTAAAGGCGAGGCTCTGGGTCCTTTGAGAGAGAGGCATGATCAAGGTTTTTGGATGACATGATTGGCATTTGGTCTGAAGTACCCCAGGAACAACAAGCAGGGAGAGGGGATAGATAAAATTAGAACGGCAGGCAGTGTGGCGCGGTGGCTAAAGTTGCTCCATGGGATGCCCACGTCGCATCTCGGAGTGCCTGGTTCGAGTCCCAGCTCCTCTGCTTCCAATCCAGCTTCCTGCTAATGCACACCCCGGGAGGCAGCAGGTGATGGCCCAACTCCTTGGGTTTCTGCCACCTGTGGGAGACCCAGATTGAGTTCTGGGCTACCTGGCCCAGACCTAACTGCTGAGGGTGTGGGGGAAGTGCAGCAGAGGATGATATCTGTGTCTGCCTTTCAAGTGGAATGTTTACGAATACGAGAGTGGCAGAACACTGAGAGGTGGAGCTGGCTGACGGATGTGTCATTGCACTACTTTCTCCTCTTTGTGTGTGTTTGAAATTTTCCATATTAAAAGAAAATCTTTGGGTTTTTTTTGAGCCCTAAATATTGTACATGAAAGCTTTTCAGACCTCTTATTTTATTTTATTTATTTTTTATTTTCTTGACAGAGTGGACAGTGAGAGAGACAGAGAGAAAGGTCTTCCTTTGCCGTTGGTTCACCCTCCAATGGCCACCGCGGCCGGCGCGCTGCGCTGATCCGAAGGCTTCTCCTGGTCTCCCATGCAGGTGCAGGGCCCAAGCACTTGGGCCATCCTCCACTGCACTCCCGAGCCACAGCAGAGAGCTGGCCTGGAAGAGGGGCAACCAGGACAGAATCCGGCGCCCCGACCAGGACTAGAACCCGGTGTGTCAGTGCCGCAGGTGGAGGATTAGCCTAGTGAGCCGCGGCACCGGCTGACCTCTTATTTTATTTTTAAAAGATTTATTTTATTTATGTGAAAGGCAGAGTGACAGAGAAAAAGGAAGACAGAGAGAGAAAGAAATTTCCATCCCGCTGGTTCACTCCCCAGATGGCTGCCGCGGCCGGGGCTGGACTGGCCCAGGAGCCAGGAGCTCCATCTAGGTGGTAAGGACTCTGGCACTTGCTAGGTCCGTTAGCGGGACTCAGCACAGCGGGGACTACTCCATCTGGAGCTTAGACAGGGGGCGCCACAGGCCAGCGCCCCTCTTATGCAGGTCTTACCCTCAGCCATGTCCAGAAGCAGTGGGGAAAGGCGGAAACACACCGCACACAGCTAATCCAGCTCAGCAGCCGGCAGCCGCACTGCTGTTGGTTACTGCGCCAGCCGTGACTGACTGGCCTGAGCGGGAGTGTGGCAGCCTTGGCGTGCCCGGGCTCCTGTCTGTGGACCACGTGGGCTGCTGCTTGTGCAGGCTCTTCCTGTGCAGCTCAGGGGGCTCCAGCGGGAAGGGAAGCAGCAGATCCGGAGGCCTGGTGCGCTGCCCTCCGTGGGCTGTCCCGTTAGCGCCCTGTCCCCGGGAGACGCGAGTGCCGTGAATGACGCTGGTATTTCCTTTGTAGAAGAAGAAGGCTCTGCTTTCCATCACCATGGGAGGCAGCGGCTCCATGTACTCTCTCCAGGGTATCCACGGGGACATGAATATCATTCTCTGGCCAATTCAGGTACGCGGTTCAGCAGAGTTCATTAACTGGGCTTTCTGTGGGGTCTCAAGTCTCCAGACAGCGGCCCGAACACCACAGTGAGGGTGCTGATGGAGGCAGGGTCACGAGGCAGAGCCACAGGGGGCTGCCTGTCTGTCTCCCCAGGCCCCCGCCGTTACAGCCTACACACATGGGCGCACGTGGGCAAGGGCTCCCGCAGGTGAGCCTCGCTCTGTGCAGCCTCAGGCCCTGCTTCTCTGGACGCTGGCCTGACGTCACTCTCCAGTCTTCCAGGCCTTCTCCAACTGGCCAAGACGGTCTCACGGGTTCTCTTAGGACCCAAGACAACTTCAGAAACAGTGGTCGAATCCAGCCAGTTGGTAGAGACGCATAAAACTGCAGTCTGGGGTGGGCTTTCTGGTGGGCGCTCAAGATAATCTTTCTGAAGGAAGGAAGAGGCTGGCGGGAAGCATCATTTCTGAGGACTTGTTAAGGAGCGGAGAGGCAGCGAAATGCGCATCTGTGAGCCTTGGCACGAGGCCCTCCCTGGGCGCTTTTGGCAGAGAATCCAGGCTGGCACAGATTCAAGGTTTTCTCAGTTGCAGAAGCGCCCAGCTGAATAGACTCAAACAGGCAACAGCCAGGTAGAGAGGGCAGGAGGAGAGAGGACACAGCCGTGAGCTGACCCCCAGAGAGCCGAGGCTGCCTCACTGGAGTCTTGTTGGGAAGCCCCGCCCTTGAACTCCTGTTGCTTGTCCGCAAGCCCAGCGACGTGGGGTTGATTCTGTGACTTACCCCTGCGCTTTGTGTCTCCCCAGAGTGGCATTCTGCACTTCTGTGGATTCCAAGTCCTGGAACCTCAGCTCACATACAGCATCGGGCACACTCCAGAGGACGCCCGGATCCAGATCCTGCAGCGATGGAAGGAGCGCCTGGAGAGTATTTGGGATGAGACTCCTCTGTATTTTCCTCCAAGCAGCCTTTTTGACCTAAACGTCCAGGCAGGGTTCTTAATGAAAAAAGAGGTGCAAGATGAGCAGAAAAACAAGGCAGTTGGCCTCTCTGTGGGCCATCACTTGGGCAAATCCATCCCAACTGACAACCAGATCAAAGCCAGAAAATAAGATCTCTAAGATTTGATCAGGCCTCCCTACTTGCTTCAGTGCTTCTGATTGGGGTTTTCTTATCCCATGAGAAATGAGTAGCAGGGGCTGGTGCTGGCACAGCAGGTTAAAGCTCTGGCCTGAAGTGCCAGCATCCCATGTGGACACTGGTGTGAGTCCCGGCTGCTCCACTTCAGTTCCAGCCCTCTGCTATGGCCTGGGAAAGCAGTGGATGACGACCCAAGTGCTTGGGCCCTTGCACCTACGTGGGGGGCCCAGAGGAAGCTCCTGGCTCCTGGCTTCGGATTGGCTTAGCTCCGGCCTCTGCAACCATTTGGGGAGTGAACCAGTAGAGGGAGACCTCTCTCTCTACCTCTCTATGTAACTGTCTTTCAAATAAATAAATCTTTCAAATAAATAAATCTTTAACAAAAATGACTAGGAGAAGTAACATCCTCTATTCACATTTTGCAGCACTTTAATTTTATTGCTAAATGAAACATGATTAGGTTGTTGTCATGACATAGAAACAAAATCTGATTAGGCTCAAGAGGCCATTTTAGGACATATGTCAGGGAAAGGCATGAAGGACGCTAGAAGGTATTCTTTAGGGTCATCCATAAGTTTAATTTTTTTTCTATGTTAAGATACAAGCAAAACTTCCTTTTTTAACAAGGTAGGCAGCTCCACCAGTGTTAACATTTCCCAAATGCTTCCAAGTCTCTCCAGCTCTGCTCCCAGCCCCCGTGGTTTGTCCCCAACAGTGGAACATCTTGTCACACCACCGATTGAAGCAAAACAGCACAACATGCTGCCGCTTCACCCGAAAGCGGTGCTTTTGGCTCTGCCAATTCTGGACGGCTCGATGGGTCATTAGCAAAGGCCCACTGAGTGCTTTTAAAAGGGGGGACATAAGTTTAATTTTTTAAAAATTAAACTTTATCTGAGAGGCAGAATGTGAGATCGCCTATCCGCTGGGTCACTGCCCAGATGCCTACATCAGCCAGGACTGGGCTGGGCTGCAGTCCATGCTGGAAATCAATCCAAGTCTCTCACTCGGGAGGAGGAGCCCAACCCCTTGAGCAGTCCTCTCCCGCTGCCTTCTGGCACCCATGCTGGCAGGAAGCTGCGCCAGGAATTGAACCCGGGTAGTACTCCAATAGGAGTTGCCCTGGATTCTTTGTTTTTAGGGCTAAATTTTTAGGACTAACTCTGGCTAGAGAGCATCCAATTCTCCGATGACCTATTTTAATTACCTCTCTGTGGTTTATGGCAGAAGGGAATTGCTCAAAGAAATGACGGAATCCATCAGACCTAAGGGACTTGTTTGGTCGTTAGTAATCTAATGCTTGTTTGTGAAACATATTTGTTTCAATTACTACCCAGTGACTAATATTCCTGATATGAGGATTACTCTAACTTCAGCTTGCCTTGTTTGTATAGAGCTCACACAGATCCCCTGAAATGAATAACTACGATCTCTTTACCTCACTTCAATCTTTTTAAATAAGAGATTCATTTATTTTATTTATTTGAAAGGCATTGAGAGAGGGAATCATCTTTCTGCTAGGTCACTTAGCAAATGCCTACAACAGCGGAGGCAGGTCAAGCTGAAGCCAAGAGCCAGGAACTCCACCTGGATCTCCCATGTGGGTTGCAAGAACCCAAGTACTAGCGCCATCATCTGCTTCCTCCCAGGCACGTTAGCAGGAAGCTGTATCAGAAGTGCGGAGTAGCTGGGACATGAGCCAGGCACTCCAAAATGGGATGTGGGCATCACAAGTGGCGGCTTAACCCACTGAGTCACAATGCCCACCCCTCAATTTTCTAATTGCCGGAGTAAGCCAACATATCTACACCCTACAAGTGCTACATGAATTCAGGAAAAGCAACCTTAAATATTTAAAGTTTTCCCCCTAAACTAACCTTATTTGTGAGCTATACAAACTTCTGAAAGGCTGTTTTCTGTATTATTGCTAAACTGACGACTTTGCTTTGAAGGCTGTATTTTGGCCTCAGAATTTTAGGATGAAATTCTAAGCCCAGAGTTTTAGTAACTTTAAAAAAATTTTTTTTTAAATTTTTTTTTTGACAGGCAGAGTTAGACAGTGAGAGAGAGAGAGAGAGAGACGAGAGAAAGGTCTTCCTTCCGTTGGTTCACCCCCCAAGTGGCTGCTACGGCCAGCGTGCTGCGCCGATCCAAAGCCAGGAGCCAGGTGCTTCCTCCTGGTCTCCCATGCGGGTGCAGGGCCCAAGCACTTGGGCCATCTTCCACTGCCTTCCCGGGCCACAGCAGAGAGCTGGACTGGAAGAGGGGCAACCAGGACAGGATCCGGCGCCCCAACCAGGACTAGAACCCAGGGTGCCGGCACCACAGGCGGAGGATTAGCCTAGTGAGCCATGGTGCCAGCCGAGTTTTAGTAACTTTGAACAATTTTGTCATAGCATTCTGATTTTTGTTTAAATTCTTGAAGTACCTCTTTTCACACTGTTGGTCTAATAATCCAAATAGAATGTAAGACTGCCCTCTTGTGGTGCATGCATGCAAAAAAGTAAGAGAAATGTTGCTAAGCAAGGTTCCTGCAAACCGCAAACAGCTCACAGGAGAACCTCATTCACAGATGCTGGCTGCTGGCTGGCACTGGCTCTCTTCTCTAAACAATATCCACGGTAGCAGATGGCTGGGTGTTCCGGTCTGAAAATGTTTTTGTTGTCTTCTTCATGGTGATTTTGTATAAATTTCTGAAAGTTTCAAATTAAATAAACAAAATCTAAATAAATATAGGACCATGCTCATTGGTATCAGTGACACTAGTGACATCAGCATTCGGGCAAAAGCAGAATCTGCTGGAAGATGGGATCAGAGAATTAAGTATTAAATTACAGGCCACAGACCCACAGGTATATGGTTCGAGAACTTGCTCAACAGGGCTGCTTTACACTGAATGGTAATGGGACAACCTATTCAGATCCTCCCACAAACTTAAAATAGAGCCAGGAAAGGGGTGGGCAGTTGGTGCACTGCATAGGATGCCACTTGGGTTACCCACATCCTACACTGAAGTGCCTTGGTTTGAGTCTTGCTACACTTGGACCTCCAGCTTCCTGTAGGTCCATGGGAGGCGGCAGTAATGGTTCAACATGCCTGCCACCCACATAGGAAACCTGGATTGAGTTCCTGGCTCCTGGCTTGGGCATTTGGGGGAGTAAATCAGAAGATGGGACATCTCTGTCTTTGCCTTGCAAATTTGAGAGCCAGAGAATAGAGCAGTATAGAAATCAAGAAAAATGTGGGGCCGGCGCTGTGGCACAGCGGGTTAATGCCCTGGCCTGAAGCGCCGGCATCTCATATGGGCGCCGGTTCAAGTCTCGGCTGCTCCTCTTCCCATCCAGCTCTCTGCTATTATTGAAGAAGCTCCTGGCTCCTGATCGGTGCAGTTCTGGCAGTTGCGGCCAATTGGGGAGTGAACCATCGGATGGAAGACCTTTCTCTCCCTCTCTCTCTCTCTCTCCTTTCTCTGTGTAACTCTGACTTTCAAATAAATAAATAAATAAATCTTTTAAAAAAATCAAGAAAAACGTAAATGTAAATGCCCTCAGGACAATACGTATGCCCTGATTTATCCAATCACTGGGCCTGGAAGTTGGACTGGGAATACAATGAAGAAAGCCAAGTACCTGCCCTCATAGCACTTAGATTTTAATGTAAATGTGATAAGAGACAAGCTAACTTACTTATCTGAAAGTCCAGATTAGAGATGAGCTTCCATCTGCTGATTCATCCCCCAGATGGCTTCAGTGGTCCAGGCTAGGCAGGCCAAAGCCTGGAGCCAGGAGCTTCTTCAGTGTCTTCCACAAGCACTTGCGCCATCTCCTGCTGCTTTTCCCAGGCACATTAGCAGGGAGCTGGATCAGAAGTGGAGCAGCCGGGACTCCAACTGGCACCCATATGGGTTGCTGGCACTGGAGGCAGTTTCCCAGCTAGGTCACGCTGGCCCCTCCGTGAACTTTTTGAAGCCCCCTTATGTATGGTATTTTAAGTGACTATTCATTTAGGGGTATGCATGGGATGTCAAAAATTGCCACTGTTTCTTAGTCAATAGTCTCTATCTGATAAAGTATAAGCATCCTATCAAAACCAGCATCTCAAGATGAGTGCTCTGCATAGCAGCTAACACACCACTTGGGACACTCACATCCCTCATCAGAGTGTCTGGGTTCGAGTCCTGGCTCTGCTTCTGGTTCCAGTTTTCTGCTAATGTGAACCCTGGGAGGAAGCAGGTGATAGCCCAAGTAGTTCGGTCATTGCCACCCACATGGTAGACCTGGGTTGAGTTTCTGGCTCCCGGCTTTTGCCTAGCCTTGCCCACACTCTGTCTTTCAAGTAAATAAAAAGTAACACCATCTCTTTTTTTTTTTTTTTTTTAAAGATTTATTTATTTGAAAGGCAGAATTACAGAGAGGCCGGGGGCGGAGAGGAAGAGAGGTGGTCTGTCCTCTGGTTGCAAATGGCTGCAATGGCCAGAGCTGCACCAATCTGAAGCCAGGAGCCAGGAGCTTCTTTCAGGTCTTCCACGCAGGTGCAGAGGCCCAAGGACTTGGGCCATCTTATACTGCTCTCCCAAGCCATAGCAGAGAGCTGGATAGGAAGTGGAGCAGCCAGGACTCAAACTGGCACCCATATGGGATGCTGGCACTACTGGCAGCAGCTTTACCCACTATGTCACAGTACCAGCCCTGTCATATCTCTTAAGCTTTAGTTTTATGCACATAGTGATACATTCTCTATTAGTATCTATTTAATATTATACTTTAATATGACTCACTTCCCCTACATGGTCTGGTAGGGGAACACATTTTTTTCTAGTTTCACTAAAATACATGTTTGAAAATGTGTAGTATGTTTACCTATATAACCCCTAAAATTGCTCTGAGAGCCACTAGTGGTTATGTACTCTGCTACACATTTATATATGTGGGGTAACCATCAAAAGAGATTGGGAGATTTTTCATCAAAAGCATCTCCATGTGTATATGTTAAACAAAGAACATTTAAACTAAGTAAAACAGTAAAACAAATTGTGTCACACTGAGTCATTTGTGTTCTGCCAGGCAAATTAGTAGGTATGAAATGACTTCAAAATTTTTTGTATTTCATGTTTATTTCCTAATGATTTTATAATTTCAGCCTCATAATCGTGTTGCTCAAAACTAATATGCATGCACATGCATTTATTCACAGGGTTTGAGGAAAAAAGACAACTACCCACGCAAAATGAAAACTTTCAATGTTTTATTTTTGACTGCAGCTGTTTACAGAAATATAGTTGCGAGTATACAAATGTTCCAATAGAAGCAAAATATCTTTTTAATATTTAACAAGTTATCACAGATAGCTAAAAACATAGAT